AAAAAAACCTATTCTAATTATTGAGGCCCCTACATTAATTCCATTGCTCTTTCTAGCCCAAACGGTCTCGACTCTGTCGCTGTCCTCTTGCATGAAACTTCAAACGCCTTGTCATGTACGGCTTGTACAACAGTTTGCCAGCAGGTCTCGACAGACTCCGCTTGGAAGGGACATCCCTTGCTTGTCAAGACCTCTTTGCCCAAAACCTTAAGTAGATCCCCACGACCTGCATCAAACACGGTGCAAGCAGGGCAAGGTTCAACTACTCGTGTCCGTGGACACGTTTTCCCAGAGGTGTACCTGCGTTTCATGGGCAAGGTTGATCGTCTTTATCGTCGTCGTCGTCGTCGTCGTCGTCGTCGTCGTCGTCCGCGTCCTCATCGTCAAGCTCGTCGCTATCAGAGTCGTAAGCAGCATCCACGTCCTTAACCACCATTATCGTCACCACCATCGTCGCCGTCAACATCAGCATTGCCATCATCATTTTCGGCATCTCTGCATCGGTGGTTGTCACCCTCAAGCTCTGTAAACTTCTCAGCCACCAAGCCAACAACGCCCTGAAACGAAATCTTGCAGGCACAGATCCTGGTCACCACCCTTGACAAGAAGCGTTTCGACAGGTGCTCTTAGTCTAAGTTCTAGACTCAATAAGGCGGTTAGGGTTCATGCTGCCTGTGACTTCAGACACACAGTGAAGCACCTTTTCAACGGACACACACATACAAAATGCGTGGAGCTTTTGGTTCTCGGGTTTCAGGTTTAGCCGTTTAGCCTTATATATTGCTTTCAGCATCCGGTGTAAAAATCGAGACGGCTTTCGGGCTGGGGTTCAACTGACGATGGTTTCATTTTTGCTTCTGCTGATGATTTTTCCCTGTCTGAAACTCCTGAGCCCTAAACTTTAAACCGTTATAGGAGCCTTATAGAAGGTCTATATACCGTATGGAAGCCTTATAGAAGCCCTATAGACCCTAAACTCCCCACCTGTAGTTTCCTTTAGCCTAGTCACATCATTTGCAGCTTGTTTTGGCTTATGCTTTCACCCTAAACCCTAAACCCTAAACGCTTTCGGTGAGCAACAGGAGAACCCCGGACCTCCAAACCGAGGACCATAACTTAGCCCCAAACGACTCAACCCAACACGAACCCTAGAGTCTATAGAGCGTGCAAATCTGGGTTTGGGGTTTAGGGTGTATACAGCTTGCGAACCTTGGGGCCGTATTGTCCGGTTTTCAGTTTTCGGGGGTTCAAGACGAACTGCGAAACTCAATCCGAGGCCCTAAGCCCTGCCCGAAACCAGCACCCTCAACTCAAACCCGAAAGCTGAGAACCATGAAAGCCTAAACTCCTCGAGCCTGGTAGGGGCCTCAACAATCAGAATAGAGTTTTGGGGCCCACTACACTATGATGATAATAAGGAACCCCCAAAATATTTCTGGCAATTATTTAGGCCCCTACATTAGATAGCTTCTATGGGTTCGGTGCTGAAGTCGATCCCCGTCGAGCTTTCGGACTGTTGACCTCGCGCCTGGTGCAGGTACTGGGACACAGTGGACGTACAGAACAAGGCGAGCTTTTCTTGAGACATATGTGGGGCCGAACAGATCACAAACGCAGACAGATTTCACGCATAAGTTGTCTGGAATCTCTCGTAAATGCGCCTTCAAACCGGGAAGGTAGAATGCTTTTGTTCATGTGTGTATGCACTGCCGCTGATGCGCCTCAGAAGTACTTTTCCGACGCACATTCGATACTGGGAGCGGTGGCAGAAGTCCTTGTCCTCAGGCTTCTGCAAGCGAAAAGCCTATCTGTAGCAAGAGACATTGGGTTTGGATTTAGGGCTCAACGTCTCCCTTTGGGGTTAGGCTACCCAGCCGTAGCCTGAGTGCTCATGTACTGTATGGTTCTGATGAGTGTGCATAAACCCATATAAATCCTAAACCCTTAAAGCTCTATACCCAAAACCCTTATAAACCCTAAACCTTAAACCCCTAAACCCTAAACCCTTGTAAACCATAAACCCTAAACCCCTAAACCCCTATAATTACCCTAAACCCTTGTCAACCCTAAATCCTAACCAGTAAACCCTAAACCCTAGACCCCTAAACCCTTATAAACCCTAAATCCCTAAACCCTCAATCCTAGACTGCTTCATGACAGGGCGCAGTCACCTTCGACGACTTTCTGGAGCTGCTGGATTTCGAGGCCTCCGAGAGCGTCACAACTAGACAAAGGAGTTAATATAGACGCCTGACTAGTTTGGGGTTTAGGGTTTGGGGTTCGGGGTTTAGGGTTTCGGGTTTGGGTTTAGGGTTTGGGGTTCAGCATTTTGGGTTCAGCGTTTTGGGTTTAGGGGTTTGGTGTTTAGGGTTTATGGGTTTGGTGTTTAGGGTTTAGGGTTTAGCCGTACAGTCGAATCACCATGTAGAGCCCTTGAAAGAGGGCTCTGGGTTCCCCTCACCGATCTCGGGACTTGGAACCGCAAGCCCGGTTTTCTTGCCGCCCCCTAAAGTTGCATTTCTTCGGGAGACGGGGCTACTTGGTTTAGGGTTTCGGGTTTAGGGTTTAGGGTTTTGGTTTTGGGTCTCCCTCTAAAGTCTTAAATGTAGCTGTTTTCAATGAGGTTTTGGTAAGCCCGAGGGGAGTCTTGCCCTAAACCCTAAACCCTAAACCCTAAACCCTAAACCCTAAACCCGCAGAGAGAGGAGCGGTGAGCCACGCTCCTTGCTGCGACTTTCAACCCACGTGAAAGCCCTGTTCCTGCAGAGCTCTCGCATGCTTCCCTGAAACCGTAATCCTATCCCCTAAACCGCTGAACCCCTAAACCCCTACATCCCTAAACCCCTAAATCCCGAAACCATGACTGCTTGCATAAGCCCCAACCCTAAACCCCCAAATCCCTAAACCCCTCTGCTTGCATAAACCCCAACCCTAAACCCTTACACTCAAACCCGCAAAGCCCCCAACAAATATCGAAGTTGCCAGGACATGCCCGAGGATGTCCTTGCGAAGCCGGGCTCCGAGCTTTTCGTGTCATCGGGTTTAGGGTTTAGGGTTTAGGAGGGTCCAGGGTGTTTTGCGGCTTTTAGGGTTTTCGTGATTCTCCGGATTACTGGTCTCGTATCTTAGAGAGGTCTGAGGAAGTAGTAGCGATATCACCAAATTACTCTTCCTCTAGCTATCGTGCAATAAGCTGCATGTATTATATATATATATATACATATATGTAGATGTAAATTTACGTAGGCAGATATAGGAATATTTATGCATACCCCCCGAATGCCATTTCCACGGATCGAATTCAAACGGTCCCCACGAGCCCCAAGGACATAGACCTAAGCCTAAAACCCTTCCCATATAGTATCCATGGTAGTTGCCTTTTTTGGTTCACTAATCGGGTTAGGGTCCTACAGTACAAAATTTGTTAGCCAAAACAAGGAACTACAATGGAGACTATAGGCAAACCTTAAACCGAGCTTCTCGACGCTCGGATAGCGCAGACGGAAAAGGGGTTTCCAACAAAAACACATAAGCCGTACATACTAGACCTTCAACGAGATGTTCAGTAACCCGGGACCTTAAGTCTGCAGGGTTTAGGGTTATAGGGTTGAGGGTCTAGGGTTATAAGGTTTAAGGGCGATCGGGTTATAGTTCGGGTTATAGGGTTGATGTCCAAACCCTGAACCTCTCAGTCTTAACACCACACCCTTAGTCTCCGCTCCAAACACACTCAGTCTTCTCCAAAGCCTCGAATCTTGACTCCAAGCCTACAGTTTATAACCCTGACACTTTAAGCCCAACCCCTGAACTCTAGATTGTAAGATCCCGGGGCTCCTTCGCCTGAACCCGAAGCGCGCAGTTCTGAGCTCCCCCATATGGAAGACTCCGATTGTCGTAAACCCAACAGTCCCCTTTAGGATTCACGGATTCAGAGTGCACCTTACCCATAGGCCTCATAGTAGTTCCCTTTGGAATTACTTAATAGGATCCTAAATATTAGCCACAAACAGGAACTACTATGGGGCCTGTGTGCAACCCCCACTTAATTAATCAAAACCACACAATGCACACAACTCTGGGAAGACGGCTGGGAAGTTTTTGTGGGAAGTCACGTTAGGAACCCATAAAGAGTTAATATACTGTAGACCCTAAACCCTAAACCCTAAACCCTAAACCCTAGACCCTAAACCCTAGAAATCTTGGAAGGCTTCATGGGCCCGACCTCTAGTTTTGTAACCCCCACGCAACCCGACTTGAATCCCTTAACCCGAAACCCTAAACCCTGAACCAACCCTAAACCCTAAACCCTAAACCCTCCGAGCTCTCCTTTATACTAGATAGGCGCATGAAGCCCAAAAGAGTCTAGGAATCCTTGGAGCGTCAGGCGCAGGAGACATATCCTAGACGTGGGGATACCCATAGGCCCCATAGTAGTTCCTTTTGGGGGTTCATATTTCGAATCCACAGGCCCCATAGTAGTTCCTTTTTGGGGTTCGTACAGTATTTAGAATCCTATAAGGTAATCCCAAAAAGGAACTACTATGGGGCCTATGGGTAGGGTTTAGTGGCGTTTAGGGGTTTAGCGTTGAGGCTCTGAGGTTCAGGATTCAGGGCTTCGGCTTCGGGCTTCAGGGGATTGTCTTTGTAGGG